GAGGACCTGGTGGGGCCTCAGGATGAGGGCTGCTCAGCTCAAAGCCTCAGCTCCTGGTGAAGGCACTGTGGTCCTGCCCACTGGTGACAAAGGAGTATGAGCTGCATTCAGTTCCTGTTCCCCACCTGGGGCCCTGAGTGTATTGCAGATGCCTGTGGTTTGGGAGGAGGTGGGGGGTGTGGCCTTGCTCCTTGCCCCAGATGTTGCCTTCCCTCTTTCCCCAAGTGTCTTCTGCTAACACCAAAGCCCCTTTGTTACCTCCTCTGCCCCCAGGCCTCACCACCTGCTGCAGGCCACAATCCACTCTTTGTGTGGTCTGCAGCTGGCCACCAGGGCCTTCCCCTTGAGGAGGTTCTTATCAGAACTGCAGCCCAACCCCTTGCTGGGAGGCTGGGTTAGGGGCAGGTGGTAGGAATAGGAGGTGACCAGCCTTGTCCTGAGACTCATCCCCTGTGTGTGACCTGATTCCCTGGTACTTGGTACTTATGGAGAGTGGAAGGGAAAGGTGGCCTAGCCCAGGTCAGGGCCCACGTGTACTAGACTAGGCTGTGGAGCCTTGCATCCTGCAGGGCAGCCTGTCCACCTGATGCCTGGGGTCTCTCTTGTCAGCCAAGTGATATGTCAGGGCTGGGGATTGAGGAGGGACAAGCCAGTTCACATGGTGGAGGGACAGAATCTTGGGCATTCGTGATGGTGTGGAGGATCTAGAAGGGTGTCCATGTGGAGGGACTGCCTTGGGCTTGGCTTTCCCAGGGTGTGGTCTCCAAACATCTCCCACTTGAGCACATAGGTATAGTGAGTCCCCAAAGCCAGGGCTTATCCCCATTCCTGACCTGTGTGTCCCCCTTACTTCTCACTTCATGCCCTTGGGCCCATGAGGCCTCCTCCTTCTATTAACAGTTCCATTTCTACCTAGACCACAGGGCTGCTCTCCCTCACACCCTGGGGTGGCTCAGGACAGAAGCCCAGGACAGGGAGGCACAGCTCTGGGCAGATCACCAAGAATCAAGGCCCTTCTGCCACCTGAGGCAGCTTTTAGGTCCTGGAAGCTTCTGGAAGCTGAAGTAGATAAAGCAGGGCTCTCTGGTTTGAGTTAGGAACCTCTGGATGTATTGGTACATTAAGTCCTGTCCCTCTGTCCTTGCCTCAAATTCATGGCCCAAGCTCTGACCCCTTCAAAGTCTTCCCACATCAACGTGGCCTGGGCCCACCATCCTCTGAGCCTCTTTAGGTGGATATTAAGTCAATTGGCAAGAGCTTCTCCAAGGAGTGGGGTGCAGAAGCCATGGAAGGAGCCCCCACTCTCAGTGGGACCCCTCCTGGGGCCTTGCCCTCCCCTTCCTGCTGCCCACCTCTCCCAGGCGTCTCCAGTATTGAGGGAAGAAAATACAGCAGAGGTGAGGGCAGACCCCTGTTGGGGAAATAAAGTTTAAGAAATCTCTAGCACCCAGAAAGGCCTTCCACAAAAATAGAAAAGAAAGAAAATAGTTTTGTTTTTTTTTAATATTTATTTTTTAGTTTCAGGTGGACACAATATCTTTATTTTATTTGTATGTGGTGCTGAGAATCGAACCCAGTGTCTCAGGCATGTTAGGCGAGTGTGCTACCACTTGAGCCACATCCTCAGCCCAAGAAAATAGTTTTTTATTTGTTTGTTTTGATTGAATAAGCGTTGGAAGAATGTGATGCCTTTCCTGGCACTTGCAAGATGGCTGGGCTGAGAGCACTCGCAGCTTGGTTATAGCCAGGTAGGGGCCATCTATCTTGCACATCCGTTCTCAAGATAAATCATAGCTGCTCTTCAAGAGCATGTGACACTACCATGTCTCATCTAATTCAGCCTCATTTTACCTACTTATTAGGGTGACTATTTGCTATCTAATTACCCTTACCCAAAGGAAAAGTAAGCTTTTCATATTTTTTTAAATATATTTTTTTAGTTATACATGGACACAATATCTTTATTTTGTTTATTTATCTTTTATGTGGTGCTGAGGATCGAACCCAGTGCCTCATATGTGCGAGGCAAGTGCTCTGCCACTGAGCCACAACCTCAGCCTAGCTTTTCATATTTTTATGACAGGAGTTAACTTTGCAGCTTGGAGCCAGGCACCATCCAGAGCCAGGCTCCTGCCCTTGCGTGGAGAAGGGCCTGCCTCCTGCATGTTGACTTTTCAGAAGGATGGCTCCCAGGTCCTCAAGAAAGACATCAAGGCCAGGCACGGTGGCACACACCTGTAATCCCAGCAGCTCGGGAGGCTGAGGCAGGAGGATCACAAGTTCAAAGCCAGTCTCTGCAAAAGCAAGGCACTAAGTAACTCAGTGAGACCCTATCTCTAAATAAAATACAAGATAGGGCTGGGGATGTGGCTCGGTGGTTGCCTTGGTTCTCTTAAAAAAGAAGAAAAAAAAAAAAAAAAAAGGGGGCGGGGGAAATAGCTCAGTGGTTAATCCCTGGTACAAAAAAAAAAAAAAAACCAAAAACATTATGTTGTGAAGTTGGCAAAAGCCTTTTGGCTTCAAAAAAGACTTATGTATGTTTCAAAAGGGACGGAGCCAGAACTTAACAATGAGAAGTTTCTGAAGAAAATACTCAGTCCTTCTGCACCTCTGTAATCCCAGCAGTACAGGAGCCTGAGGGAGAATTGTAAATTCAAGGCCAGCCTGGGCAAACAGCAACCCTGTCTCAAAATAAAAGGCAGGGGATGTAGCTCAGTGGGTTCAATCCCTAGTACCATAAAAAAACAAAAAAACAAACAAAAAAAATCCCCCAAAACCAAGAAGGTGTCTTTCACTCTACACCAGGGAAATTAAATTTTCTTTAGATTCCTGTTTACCCATATACCCCTCTCTTACCTTGTCAGAGACCAGATTCCAATTCCGGTAGATATGCCCAGAACCCTCAGGAAGGGGACCCTGGGGGAAGGGGGTCTCGGTAAGGCTTTCCTTGGCTGGAGTGGGCTTTCTGCTGAGGGGTTGCCAAGCCGAGGTGGCCAGATGGGAGCTTTGACTGAAGCCTGGAAGAGCCCCTTCCCAGGCGGCTGAAGCTTGGGCTGCGAGTCTCTGTGGGGCAGCTTTTGGAGTCCTTGCCGTGCTGGGGGTACAGGAGGATGAAGCCAGGTGTGAGCACAGGAGACACCGTGGGCACTGGCGTGGTGATAAAATGAGCCGGTGTCTGAGCTCAGTCCCCAGCTGGGCAGCATATTTGTTATGTGCCTCTCCTGGGGGCTCTGTCCGGGGTTTTGGGCGCCTGGGGACAGTGACGAGCACATCAGGTGGGAAAACTGCTGGGGCAACGTGAGGTGCCGTTAGGCTTGTTGCTGGGTACTGAGGTGCCAGGGGAGGCTGCTCTGGGAAGGTGACCTTGAGGAAGGAAGAAGCTCAGGGCAGCCAGGCAGAGGATGTGGGGGCTTCAGAGGGGACTCCCAGGCAACAGCTTGGGGCGTCCAAGAAGCCATGCGATCTGCCCCCAGCCATGTTTCCGGCAGGAAGGGAGCCAGTCAGGAAGACCACAGCCTAAAATAAAGAAAAGTGATGGCTGAACCAGGGACCCGTGAGCTAGCACCCTGCCTAGGGCGACCGTGAGATGCCCTGGCAGGGTTCCTGACTAGCTTTGTTCTGGAACCCGGATGGGGACTCTGAAAGATGGGCCGCTGATGAGGAAGGGTGGGGGCCCTCTGCCTCCTGGGTGCCTTCTTGACTAGGGCCCGTCCTGCGCGATCTCTGACCTCAGCTGAGGTTCCTCGTTTCTCACTTGGTGGCCTTCACTTGCCACCTTTCCCATGTTAGGGGTATGAGGCTCTGGTCCGAGAGTCAGGAGTCCCGGGTTTTTGTCCATTTGTGCCATTCAACCACCTCTGTGAATCTGGACATGTCGGGGACCCTCTCTGCTTGGATTCCTCTTGGTTAATATAAATCATGCCATTTTGCCACTTTTGACTGGGCAGAGAGGCGGAGTTTCAGGAGAGGGAGAGGTTAAAAGTCCAAGTCTGAAAGACTGGCTGTTGGGCAGGACCTGGATGACACATTCTACCAGGGACAGTACCTCACAGGGGCACCCATACATTCCAAGAGATTATTTTGTTTGGGGGGGGAATGTTGAAATTGTTAGTACGCTAAATTGATTTATTCTTGAAGGTCAAGCTGAAATTGTACCTCTTCCATGAAGTCATCCCTTGTCGCGGCAGTTCAAAGTATGGTGTCATGTGTCCATGATCTCTCTGTCTCACATCTTTTTCTCTCACTTCCTAAAATTCTCTTTAATAATTCAACAAGCATTTTTTTTGCCCTGATATCTGTTTATTTATTTTTCAGTTGTAGGTGGACACACAATATCTTGATTTCATTTTTACACGGTGCTGAGGATTAAACCCAGTGCCTCACACGTGCTAGGCGAGCACTCTGCCCCTGAGCTACAGCCCCAGCCCTTGCCGTGATAGTTGAACACTACTGTGGTATCTATCTATATTGATGCATATATTATTTTATTTTTCTAATTTAGGATTATATACTACCTCCTAAAATAGGTGATGGAAGGACACAGACCAAGTCTTTTTCTTCTTTATCTCCCTAGGGCTTTGCTTTTTGGTAAATGTGTGCAAATAATGGTGATTTTCTAACATCTACTATTTCCTTAGGGGTTATGAAACTTTATAAAATAGCTTTATTTCAGGGGTGCTCATAATTGAAACTATCAATTAAAAACAATTTGCCATATGCTTTTTCTGTTTTCAAGTTTGTCAGGGTATATAATTTAAAACATGGAGGGGGCAGGAAGGGAAGCCAGAATTTTTAAAAACTGTAAAATTGCAGTGTGTGTTTAAAACTACATAATGTAGACTCCACAGGCCGGTGCTGTTAACCCCTGTACATTTCAACTGAGGTCCTAGAAGAGGGCTGAGAAATAGCGCGAGGTCTGAGATGGGAGAGGGTCCGGAAGACCGGCTTTCATCCTGTCCCATAGGCCAATTCTCTTTATTTTGCTCCCATCTCACTCTCAGATGGCAGGGCGGATACCTGGCCAGCACTGATGCCGTGAGAGGTCTTCAGGGATGGAGAGTGGCCTGCCTGGTGACAGTACAGGTAAGAGAGTAAGTGGCCTCCTCCTGTCCCAGGCCTGCCTGCCTGTCCTTCCTGGAGCCAAACACAAGTTGCTGCCCCGAGCATCTAGAATGTACAGTTTCAGGGTGGAGACCTGGACTTGAAGGTCATCCAAAGACTAGAACAAAGAGACTGTGGGATTGGAAAAAAAAAAAAAAAAGACAAAGCCCAGTCCATTAACTTGCCAGGCCAGGGGAGACAGAGGCCTGGCTGCAGGAATTGAGATGTTTTAAGCTCTAGCACTCTGGGTAGGACAGCTGCTTAGAGCAGACTCTGTTGTTTGTTGATCAGCAAACTTCTTCAGTTCAGCCCAGGAAAGCTTCCTGGGGTCACTCAGAGTTCAGGGTCTTTCTTGGCTCAGAGTTGGCTATGATGAAACACAGCCCTCACTTTTGGTATCTGCCCAGCAAGTGCTGTCAGGAATGAAAATTTTTTTCTGTTTGGTCATGTGTTCTTGGCAGGAGCCCTTCTGTTTAGCCCTGTGCTGGGGCTGCAGCAGCCCCTGGCACCTGTGAGGAGGTCTCCCAGCTCTTTTATTTTTTTCCTGTGCAGGGGATTTGAATCCAGGAGTGCTCTACCACTGAGCTACATCCCCAGACCTTAAAATTTAAAAAAAGTTTCATTTTGCACCAGGGACTCACTCATCATGTTGCCCTTGACCTTGCAATCCTCCTGCCTCAGCCTCCAGAGTAATGAATTACAGGTGTGATGCCACTGTTGCCTCTGCCTGTGAGCAGCTCTCCCAGCCACTCCCCACCACCCCTGCTTTTTGTTTTTTTAGTGCAGGACATTGAACCAAGGGCCTTACTCTTGCTGGGCAAGCCCTCTACCACTGAGCTACACCCCCAGCCCTCCCAGCTCTTTTTAAAAATTTCTTTTGAGACACCGTCTTGATAAACTGCCCAGGCTAGTCTTGAACTTGTAATCCTCCTACCACAGTGCCCAGCTCTTTCACCAGTCCTGTCCTGAAGTGGTGGGGGCTGAAGAGTGGCTGTATCCCTTTCCCCCACCAGCAATGGGGTCCCAGGGCAGGCCTAGCCCAACTTAGGAACCCCCCCCTGGGCAGAGTGTGACTGGTTTTCTTATCTCCCTCTCCCCTCCCAGGGCAGTTGTTCTATAGTCCCCAGAGCCCAAGACCCCTGTGGAGAGAACCACCTTCCCTCCCAGAAAAATCATTTCAGTGGACTTAAGACTGAGACAAAAATTATGCCATGACTGGGTAAAAGATAAGCATTAGCAGCACGCTCCAGGAGGGGCAGTGTCATGTGTGGAAACCACCCATCCTGGGCTGGGTCTTGATAAGGACCTTTAGATGGACAGGCTGGCCTTGTTCAAGTCTCACTTGGGACCCGAGAGCTTCTGTAAGACATAGACATTACGGTAATTATGCAATCATGGTGAAGCCTAGAGCATGTGTGCTAAACACTTGAGGACACTTTCCCTGTATAAACTCCTCAGCCGTGAGGTGGCTCTGACAAAAGGAGACTTGGAGACTACCAGGGCCCTCTTCCTCCCTAGGGCACTTCTGAGTCAACCCTGGGGCTGTAGGGAAGAGGGAAAATGCTGGCACAGATATCGAGACCCACTCCTAGGCTATAGCCAGTTCTTACCTGGCCAGACTTAAGGGAATGGTCTGTCTGAGTGCCACATTTTTCAGATAATTGAGAACTTACCTCTTTTAATTTTTTTTTTTTCAGTGCTAGGGCCTGTGTGCATGCTATAGCACTGAGCTACATCCTCATCTCCTCTTTTAATTTTTATATATGTTGTATATCCATTTTTTTTGTTGTTGTGGTAATTTAATCCAGGAGTGCTTTACATTATATACATAATGTAAAATTTATCAAGTTAACCATTTTTAAGTGTACATCAGTATCATTAAGCACACTTACAATGCCATGTAACCATCCCCATCATCTATTTCCAGATCTTTTTTATCACCCAGGAACTCTGTACTCATTAAATGGTAATCCCCATTTAACATCTTTATATTTTATCTGAACCATTTAAGATTTAAAACATGTTTTTTATGATGACTGAGGAATATAACCTGCAAGCCAGAGGCTTTGTATCAATACCAGACCCCTGAAGTGATATATCCCTGGGACAGGCTGAGGGCCTAGCACACCCTGTTCCTCAGTCCCAGGACCTCAGGGGACCTGTGCTAGGTTTATATTCTTGTGCCCATTAGCAGGTGTGAGAACTCTATCCTGGAGTTCTGAGGCCTTCAGGCATAGGGACATCTTTCTGGCTATGGGTAGAGAGGGGAAAGCTACTTGTTGGATATTAAGGCCAAGTTTTACCAAGCAAGGCAGTAACTTGGGGCGGGGCGGGCTCTGGGGTATTAATGGATACTGTGTCATTCAGGGACAGTGGTCCCTTCTTGTTTGAATATATCTTGTATTCACTACCAGGCTGCCAATTTGGATACTTAGTCCCTTAAATACCTTCCCGGGCCACATTTCATTGCAGCTATGGAAACACTCCTATAATCAATTAAACTCATTGCACTTGGGTGTTCAGTTCCTGCCAAAAATAAATTTCTTTTTTTAAAATATTTATTTTTAGGTATAGATGGACACAACACAATACCTTTATTTTTTAATGTGGTGCTGAGGATCGAACCCTGGTCCTGCCCATGCTAGGCGAGCGCTCCACCGTTGAACCACCATCCCAGCCCCAATAATAAATTTCAGTCACCACTTTCATTTTCAAATTGTTACTTTCACTAAAATGATTTTTCATGACCAAGCACCAGGGGAAGCATTATGAAGTTATTTGCAAGGAGGGAAACTGGCTCCTTAAAGGTACCTTCCATGATATCCTCCCCCACAATGACCCTGAGGCCATGCGGTGGCGGGGGTGGGGGTGGGGGGGGTTGTTGGCCCTAGAATGAAAGACTACCAGATTATTAGTGAGGGTTTTTTCTTTAAAATATTTAAGGATTTAAAAATTATATATGTGTGTATGTTATGTACATATACATACAAACACACACACATACACATTTCTGGTACTGGGGATTGAACCCAAGGATGCTTAACCACTGAGTCACATCCCCACTCCTTTTTATTTTTTATTATTATTTTTTTAATATTTATTTTTTAGTTTTCGGCAGACACGACATCTTTGTTTGTATGTGGTGCTGAAGATCGAACCCGGGCCGCACGCATGCCAGGCAAGTGCACTACCACTTGAGCCACATCCCCAGCCCTCCTTTTTATTTTTTAAAAATTGTATTATTTGAGGGCTGGGGTTGTGGCTCAGCAGTAAAGTGCTCGCCTAGCACTTGCGAGGCCCTGGGTTTGATCCTCAGCACCACATAAAAATAAATAAATAAAGTATTGTGTCCAACTACACCTAAAAAAATTTTTTTAATATTGTAAAATATATTTTAAAAATTATATTATTTGAATATCCTCATATAAATTCAAAATATACAAGCCAGTGTGGTGGCACATACCTGTAATCTCAGGGACTTGAGAGGCTGAAGCAGGAGGATTGAGAATTTGAGGCCAGACTTGGCAATTTAGCAAGATTGTGTCTCAAAATAAAAATTAAAAGGTCCAGGGGTATAGCTCAGTAGTAGAGCACTCCTGGCAGTACCACACACATACAGAAAAATTCAAATGACAGATGAGGTAAAGATCCCCTCTACCTTCTCTAGCCAGTCCTATCATTTCAGAGGACAAACACCATTTTCAGGTTTGTACACAGCATCCTGGGTCATGTAAGTACATATGTATGTACATAGAGACATGCAGTTTTATGTTCATAAATTGGGTCAAATAATTCATGTAATTTTTTCAACTTGTTTTTTGCTTTCTCTTGAAATGTTTTAGAATCTTTTCACATTGGCATATATAGTTATTTTCCAATTTTTTCAATTATCAGTTACAATCCATATCATGAATAGAATGATAATTTTTTAAAACTGTTCTTTAGATTGTTATCCATTGTTTACTAATTAGGTTGTTATCCATTGTTTGCTAATTACAAATTGCATTTCAGTGAGTATTCTCAGCACTCCTCTTTGTATTTGCACATATTTCTTTGTGTGCACATGCGCATGCACGTGTGCGTATGCTACGGGACTGAAGCCCCGGCCTTGTGCATGCTAGGCATGTGCTCTTCCACTGAGTGACATGCCTGGTCCACTGGTATGTATTTCTTAGGATAAATACCTAGAGTGAAATTCTATATAGAAGATTCTATACACTTCTGATTTTAACAAGTCCTGTTCAATTATCCTTCAAAAAGTCTGAACCCCAGGATATGCTCCCAGAATATACCCTCAGGATGCCCTTGTGCCTACTTGCTTTCTCATGTTTCTGTGTATATTGTGTATATTTTCCATCTTTTCATTTTACTACGCTTTTTTTTTTTTTTTTTTTTGGCACCAGGGATTGAACCCAGAGGGGCTTTACTGCTGAGCCATATCCCCATTTTTTTATTTTTTATTTTGAGACAGGGTCTCACTTAATTGCTTAGGGTCTTGCTAAGTTGCCGAGGCTGGCTTTGAGCCAAGGCTGGCTTTGAACTTGCTATCCTCCTGCCTCAGCCTCCTGAGTTGCTGGGACTACAGGCGTGTGCAACCACACCCAGCTTCTATTGCCATTTTAAAAAATGATTAATTTTTTTACCTGGTAATCTTGCTGTATTTCCATTTTCAGTGGATTCTATTGTACATTCTAAGTTGAAAATCATAAGCAAAGCTCAGTTGCCTCCTCTTTTCCCATATTTATATATTTCTTTTTTCTCCTCGTCTTTGCTGGTTTCTCAAGTATGAAGTTGAATAGTGTCAGTGATAGTGAGCACCCTTATTTTACTGCTTCTAATCTTTTGTCTTTGGTTGTAGTGTTTGCTGTAATTTCTAGTATACATCTTTTGTCAGGTTAAGAAATTTTCTTATGTTCCTAGTTCGTTCATTCGTTCATTCATTCATTCCCTCCTCCCTTTCCTTCTTTCCTCCCTTCTTTACTATTTCCCTCCCTCTTTTCCTTCAGAAATGATGCTAAATTTTAGCAGATGACTTTTTCCACACCTATTGATATGGTATGAGGTTTTTTACTTTTAATACAGTCATGTCATGATTCTGTCAAGCCATCTTTTCTTTCCTGGGGAATATCCCAGCAGGGTTATAATATGTCATTCTTTTTAATGCCACTGAACTTGCTTTGCTAATGTTTGCATTTGTCCAAAGAACAGTAAACCTATAATTTCCTGCCTACCCCCACTTTTGTCTTGTTTTGATGCTAGAGTTATGCCGGACTTAATAGACTTTTCCCTCCCTGCTACTCCCCGTAATAGTTTAAATAGCAGGGACTAATCCTTCCCTTGAAGTTTTAGTGGAGCCTGTTTTTGCAGTCATGTGGCCTATTCCCTGTCATGGGGTCTACCACGCGGCCTGCGCAATGGTTTCATTAATGAGGTTCTAGGCATAAAGTTAGTTAGAAGAGATCGAAATAAAACACACAGACTCAGTTACCTTATTTCTATTGCCAGGTCCGAGACGGCTCCCCTCTCTGGCTCCAACCTCTAACCGCCCAGCAGGGCAGCAAGGATTACTCAGGGCTAGCAGGAGAGAGAGAGAGTGAACACGCCAGGGAGTAGCCTTTTATTGGGGAACAAGAAATTCAGGGGATAATTCCATCCAATGAAGGTTGAGGGGGGACTGCACTCCAAGGTCAGGGTCAGTGATTGGGCCCCCGGGGTCAGTGGTCAGTCACACCCCCACACGGACGGGCTCTCTCATCAGGAAAGGGCCGGGAAAATTCCGACACAGCCAGAAGCCTCAGACCCTTAACGGGAGTCGCCCAGTCACGTGTCAGGATGGCTTCCCACAATGGGGTAGAATCTGGCTTTCTCTTCAGTCTCTTCTGATTATTTATATAATCAGTTTTTCTACCTATCCTTGGGTTAGCTTTAATTGATATTTTCTTGCAAAACCATCTTTTTACAAAGATTTTCAATTTTTTTTGATATAAAGTCAATAAATAGTATTTTAGGATTTTTCAGAATCCTTTTGGTACTTTTACATTTCCTTCACTTAAAATCTCTGTTTTTACCTTTGTCAATACCTTTCTTCTACTTCTTTGGTTTTATTTTGTTGTCTCTATAATGCTGAAATCTGTTGTTTTTAGACTTCATTCCTTGTGTGTTCACAACTGTTTGCTTTCATCTCCCTTTTATGGAATGCGAGCTTTCGTGAAGTATAACATACATACTCACATAGTGAATGCACTCCTGTAATCAGCACCCACATTGACAGAACACTGCAGGAACCTCAAAACCCATGCCTCCTTCACCCGGCCATCCCTAGTTTGGCCAGCTTTGGATCTCCGTGTAAGTGGGATCATAGGGTCTGTATTCTTTTGTGTCTAAAGTAGGCATTTTCATTTGGAGTTCTGATGTTTGAGGTAGGCACAGAAAGTACCTCTGGAGACTTGTGCACAGGTGTGAAGTGTGGGCCAGGAGCAGCACGTGGGACTCTAGTGAGTGAAGTGGCCTGGGTGTAGTACAAAGGCAAGGCAACCCTGTTTCTGCAACCCCTGTTTCCGGTGTTGAGGCCTTTTTGGCCTACATTCAGATCTGACCATTTTCTCCTTGTTCCCTTGGGCCAGAAGATTTCATTGGATGTTGTTGTTTTTTAGTTGTAGATGGACACAATACATTTTATTTATTTATTTATTTTTTATATGGTGCTGAGGATTGAACCCAGTGCCTCACACGTGCTAGGCAAGCACTCTTACCACTGAGCTACAACCCTGGCCCTTGGAGGGTTTCTTTAACCTCCTCTGTATCTCCTGGGCCTTGGGGTAGAGAAAGCAGGTGAGATATATTTTTTTTTTCCTTCACAATCCACACCTCAGCTTGCCCTCTGCGTGTCCTTTCTGCCTTCCCCTACTGCCTTTTATTTCCCCTTCCATTTAAAAATCTTTGCCTTCCTTCTTCCAGCTTTTCTCTTCCCTCTCGCACCTGTTGCTCTCTCTTGCTCCTTCTTTGCACTCTGGGGAGCAGCCAGTGACCTCTCTCCATCCTCTCCCTTTGCCCCTGGCAGGAGATGAGCTGGTGATGAAGATCAAGCAAGAGAAGCCAGAGTGGCTGCTGCAGACACAGGCCGTGCTTCCCGAGAAGGACAAGGAGAACATTTTCCAGCAGCAACGGGGCCTCCTGCCATGCCAGACCATGGGGCGACCTCGGGGTCTGGGGACACAGGAAGAGACTGGGGGTCCAAGGTGGGCTCCTCCCACTGAGCAGGATGGGCTGCTGGCAGGCCGGGCTCCCGGGGCCGCCCCTGGCCCTCTGAACCCCACATTTTCTGCTGGAGAGGGTCACTTTGTGTGCGTGGACTGCGGGAAGAGGTTCAGCTGGTGGTCGTCCCTGAAGATCCACCAGCGCACCCACACCGGAGAAAAGCCGTATCTCTGCGGTAAGTGCGGCAAGAGCTTCAGCCAGAAACCCAACCTGGCCCGCCACCAGCGGCACCACACGGGCGAGCGGCCCTTCTGCTGCCCGGAGTGTGCAAGGCGCTTTAGCCAGAAGCAGCATCTACTCAAGCACCAGAAGACCCACTCTCGGCCCGCCACCCATGCGTGTCCTGAATGTGAACGTTGCTTCCGCCACCAGGTGGGCCTCCGCATTCACCAGCGCGCACACGCCCGGGACCGCCAGGGCTCCCGCGCTGGTCTGCATGAAATGCTTCGGGAAGCCGCTGTACGACGGGCCTGCCACCTGCGGCCCGGGACACCACGGGGCCGCCCAGAGTGGGCCTGGCTGGGGCTCTGCCAGGGCTGGTGGGGCCAGCATGGGGCCCGGACCTCCGTCCCTGGCCCCTCGGGGCCCGGAGAACAGCGCCAGTTCATCTGCAATGAGTGCGGCAAGAGCTTCACCTGGTGGTCCTCGCTGAACATCCACCAGCGCATCCACACGGGCGAGCGGCCCTACGCGTGCCCCGAGTGTGGCCGCCGCTTCAGCCAGAAGCCTAACCTGACGCGGCACTTGCGCAACCACACGGGGGAGCGGCCGCACCCGTGCCTGCACTGTGGCCGCAGCTTCCGCCAGAAGCAGCACCTGCTCAAGCACCTGCGCACGCACCTGCCGGGCGCCCAGGCTGCGGCGTGCCCCAGCTGTGGGCAGAGCTGCCCTAGCCGAGCGGCGCTGCGGGCCCACCAGCGTGCGCACGCCGCTGCCGAGCGCTGCAGCCCTGGGCCTGGCGTCCAGGACCCGGAGCCAGGTGCAGAGCCACAAGCTGAGGCCCCTCAGGACTTGGCTGTGCAGCCCCACAGTCCCCAGACGCCACAGGGGGGTGGGGCCGCGCCGTGGGGCCGGGGGCGCGGGGGCCTGGCCGGGCCCGGGGAGCAGCGCCAGTTCATCTGTAACGAGTGTGGCAAGAGCTTCTCGTGGTGGTCGGCGCTCACCATCCATCAGCGCATCCACACCGGCGAGCGGCCCTACGCGTGTCCCGACTGCGGCCGCCGCTTCAGCCAGAAGCCCAACTTGACGCGGCACCAGCGCAACCACACGGGCGAGCGGCCCTACCAGTGCTCCGCCTGCGGCCGCGGCTTCCGTCAGAAGCAGCACTTGCTCAAGCACCAGCGCGTCCACCGCGGAGCCTTGTCACCGCACCCTGGCCCCCAGGAGGAGGCGCTGTAGTGCACCGGTGCTGCGCACGGCAGAGGGGATTGTGTGTGGTGTGTGTGGGGACAGGGATAGCCTGAAAACTGGCTCTTAACAGGTCCCTCCTGAGACCCCATCAAAAGGCAGTACCTTGAGGCTCCAAGCCCCAGAGAACAGCATTCCAGAAGTATCCCATTTCCAACGGGTGCCTGAAAAAGTGCCCAGGGTGTGTTGAGGGAGGAATTAAGATCAGCACTCCTCACCCAGGAGCCTGGATGAGTTGATGATGGGCTGCTCCCGTCTGTAACAAGAGGTGTACCCCAGCCTTAGGAACCGAATGAAGGGGCTTTTTGGCACCCTCCAGAGGCGAGAAATGTTCCCAGGATTGGTCAGTTGTAGCACTGGCCTGTCACACCTGGGCTGCACCATGACCAGGGGGCTGTCCCTATGGTAGAGTAGAGACAGACTCCAGAATACCAGGAAAGGAGCAGAGGTGGTGGATAGGAGGGGACAAGCATAACCCCAGCACCAAAGCTAGTGCCACATTTAGTGGCATCCAATAACTATTTCTGGAGGGACTGGGGGGCTTGGTCCTTCTCCAACCCTGAGTGAGTGCTGGGTATGGCTGGCCTGGCCCTTGAACTGGCGTATGCGTGATGGTCAGGGACAGGAGTGCAAGTGGATGATCTCAGCTGAGATTTGGCCACTTGGGGAGGTGACTGTGCTGGAGGGAGCCACCATCTTGCTTCTGCTTCTGTCCCCAAGTGGGTGGGTGGCTGTTACTGACTTGGATCTTATCCCTCCTGGGGTTGCAGAAGAGAAAAATGAAGAACTGAATATTCCACGTGGTGTCAGTGTTCTTTCTGAACTCCCTTGCTGAAGCTGGCGTGTGTGTGTGTGTGTCTGTGCTCCCAGGGATCTATCTGTCTGGCCCAGGGCACGCTCAGCTCTCAGGACCAACAGGAAGCCAAACCAGAAGGCTTTGCCCGCACCCTTGTGACCCTCACCAATTGCCACATGCACAGCAACTTCCCCACTGCCACTTCTTCCTGGGGCTGGAGGGGAGTTTTCTCCTGTCCCCTCTCCTTCAAGTCTGATTATAGTCTTCTCACATATTCACCCTACCCCGCCTCACCTCTTGCCCCCTGGAAGTCACATCTTATGCTCTTTGAAAGCAGGGTTGACTGAGATCCTGGTGCTGATAGAAGCCAAGGCTCCAGATCTTTTCCTCAGAGGAGAGGGAATTGCAGAAGGTGGGTTGTTGCGGTTCCAGGGTTGGGTAGTTGAGGGTGGAAGGAAGATGGAAGGACCCTAGCATGGCTCTTAAGGAGAAAGAACTGTACCTGTTCACCTTCTGGGGGCCTGGATCCTTCTCTGAATGCCGAGCAATGCTGCCTTTTGGGGAGCTGCCAAGGTTCAGCCTGGCTGGTTTCAACCTCTCTTCAAATCTAGTTTAGGTCTTTTCATGTGGGAAAAGCTCTAAGACGGGGAGGTGATAGTGAGGACAAGCAGGGCGACTGTAGCTGTTCAGCCTCCCTGCTAACACAGTGCCAGTGAGGCATATGCTCAGCCAGGGTTTCTCATTTGTGGTCCAGCTGTTGATCACAAACCATGTAGAAATTCCACAGTCTCAGGGTTATCACCCACCTGAACGCTCAGCTCTCAGGACCAACAGGAAGCCAAACTAGAAGGCTTTGCCCGCACCCTTGTGACCCTCACCAATTTTAGATGCTCCCCTGCCTCTCTCTAATGCCCTGCCTTGTCCTGCCCAGGGAGCGCCTGGTTCCTGAATTGTATCAAAGCCTGTTGTAACCATGGGAGGCTCAAGGGTCATTCACTTCTTCCTCTTTGCTACTTAGCAAATCCTGAAATCAGTCTGAACTCACCTACTCCCGGAAGGCATCCCTGGGATACCATGATTCATTCCTGGGTTAGAGAACCACTGCCTATAAAGCCAGACCTAAAGAAACACTGGATCCCTGTAGAATTAGGTGCCCAGGGGTTGCTGCAGACAGATACTGAAGAGATCAGACTGGCAGGTGTATCTTACAAAGAGAATGTGTCCTCTTCCACAAATGCCTTGTGTTTAAAGTGAGGTGTTGGCAGGAATTGGGGTTAAGTAATTGCATGTCTCCCCTCTTGAAAATTTATGAGGATGCCTGTTCACTTTCCCTGGGTGACTGACCCTCAAAAACTAGTGCTTTGGGTCACAAGGGGGAAGACCAAATTCCCCAGCGTGTGTATTATTACCAAGTATTCCAGTTGACCAGGTCAGGGGACTGCGCAGCACTGTTCACTAACAAGCCTACTGTGTATCATGTTAGACTTTTTAGAATACTGTGATGAATAAGATGTCTCTCCCTTGAACTTCATGGATCTTTATTTTTTGTACCAGGAATTGAACTCAGGGACTCTTAACCACTGAGCCACATTCCCACTTTTTTTTATTCTTGATTTTGAGTGAGGGTCTCACTAAGTTGCTTGGGCCTTGGTAGGTTGCTGAGGCTGGCTGTGTACTTGGAATTGTCTTGCCTTAGCCTCTCAAGCTGCTGGGATTACAGGTGTGTGCCTCCATGCTCAGCTGGAAAATTATTTGGGTGTATACCTAGCTTATAATAATCTATGTGGTTAACACTTGGACAAATTGTTACCAGCCCCAACCCTCTTAGCAAGGCTTTCTTACTGATTATTTCACTTAATCTCACATGGTCAGTGATGTGGTCAGGGCAGGAATATTGCCATTTGACGCATGGAAAATGGGCTGGGACAGTGTGACTTGTTCACTAGGTCATGCTGCAGATTGACAGCAGGTTCCAGGCCTCCTGCTAAGCCTGAGCTGCACCCACTCCCACGATCATTGGTCAAGGATAGCACAGTATTGTCAATTGCAGTTTTCATTCCCTTTCATTTTAAAGTGACAAATTTGAGTCACAATATTTAGGAAGAGACATAAATTAAGAAAGTCAGACTTTCATGCTTGTAAACCAAGCAGCTAGGGAGGCTGAAGCAGGAGGATCTCAAATTAAAAGCCAGTCTTGGCGAGAACCTGTCTCATAAAAGAAAAAGGGCTAGGAATGTAGATCCATGGCAAAGCACCCCTGAATTCAATCTCAAGTACCAAATAAATAAGGTCAGATTTATTATCTTAGTGCTTTATGATCTAAGATACTGTGGAGTATTGCAGAGATTAAGAAGTTGCTTAGTGGAACAAAAACAGCCAAAAGTAATTAAGTAAAAATCTTGAAGGATTTTCTGCAGCCAGGTATGTAAGTGCAGATCTGCAGTGGCGACCTGAGGCCAAACTTTCCACAGGCCACATGAGTTTGGTGGGGCTGAAGTTCCCAGAAATATAATTGTTATTTTGTTAGGAGCAGGTTGGGAACTAATAAAATTAACCTGGGACAATAGCCTTGACATGCAATGTGAGGGTCAAGTCAGACTCCTTGGGAAGGTTTGGTGTCCACCACCTAGCTCCAGGACTGCTGGACCCAGCTGCGGTGGGAGCTGCTCAGGGGAGTGGCTGCTCAGCAGGTGCAGGGACACTGATCAAGGGAGAGAGCAGCCCTGTGCCCAGCAGGGACTTGGCAGGGCAAGGGGTGCTTCTGAAACCTTTTATTATTTTTAACGTGGTTTGAGTTTGGTAAAGAAATATCTTTGACCTTTTGGCAGGCGAGGAATGTTGGGGCCCAAAATAGTATGTTCTCGAGTATCGCTTTTTATCCTGGACACAGGCGGTGGCTGTGAAGAGAGGGAAATGAATGGTACCCTTGGTTGTCCCTTAGGCTCAAGAGGCATTGGAATCGCCTAGGTTACTCAGCTTTGGAGGGGGCAGTGTCCTAGGCCAGCACTGCCCAACAGCACATTTTGTGCTGATGGAATATTCTGTATTTGGGATATCCAATACCATAGCCACGAGCCATATGGTTCTTTTTTTTCTTATTTTTGGTACCGGGTACAGGGGCACTTAACCACCAAGCCACATCTCCAGCTTTTTTTGTATTTTATTTAGAAACAGGGTATCTGAATTGTTTAGGGCCTCACTAAGTTGCTGAGACTGGCTTTGAACTTGCAATCCTCCTGCCTTAGCCTCCCGAGTCACTGGGATTACATGCATGTGCCACTGCACCCAGTGCCATGTGGCTCTTAACATTTCAAATGTGACTGGTGTGGCTGAGAAATTGAATTTTAGCTTAGCTTAATTTTAATTAATTAAAATAGCCACACGTGGCTATTGGATGGTGTAGCCCTAGGATTGACGTTCGTATTGGCAAAAAGCTAGAAGGCAGTGTGTGTGTATGGCTCAGTGCTTTGCCTAGCATATGCAATGCCCTGGGTTCTGTCCCCAGCTAGCAGAAAAAGCAAAATAAAACAAAAACAAACAACAAAAACAACAACAAACTAGAAGACTTGCCTTCTCTCCCCTCCCACTCTGTGGCCCAAATCTAGAAAGATTTTTGGTTTCTTTGTTGGGAATAGTGGATAGAGTCGGTTCTGGGGTAGAATACTATCTTTGCCCTTTAGATTGTGGGACCTTGGCAGGTGACCTATGTTAAGCATATAGTATAGTGCTGGGCACACAGCAAGCACTCAATAAGTGGTAGCTATTATTTTATTATTAAAATAATTACAGTGGCCCATGTGTGCCTACTTGTAGAGCAAGAGATGAAAAGGTTTGTTCTCTGTTTAGCTCAGTTTCCATAAAGAATGAGCTGTCCCCATGTCAAGTAGCTAAGTCTGCCACAAACTTAAAGGCTTGGCTGAATTGGTGTCATAGGTCATGTCTCAGCTTTTTTTTTTTTTTTTTTTAAAATTAATTCTAAGGAAAGAAAACTTTAGAGCAGCTGAAACATCACACTCACGGTTTCAACTAAGTTTCCACAGCCCATCCCAGCCCTCAAAGTTGTGGCTGGGGCTAGGACACTGCACTGTTAAAGTAGCTTTCTCACATGCATTCACTCATTCACTGACTGAGGACCCATTATATTCTGGACATTTGAGATACAGGGATGCTAAAAAATAGTTCTTGTCCTTTGAAGTTCACAACCTAATGGGGAAAATAACAGTGTGTTAAATTCCAAATTTGAGGTCATTACCAAGTGCTTTAGAGTGAGGTATTAGGGATGCTTCTCCAATTCCTGGGGATCGAAGAGCTCCTGGTGGAGACACAATGGAAGCCCTGGGGACTTGGCCTCATGCAGGAAGAGCTGGAGGCTGGCCAGAGCAATGGTCTGGAGCTGCCTGGGAGAGGCCCAGGGTCATCTGTCCATCTGGTAAGTCCCAGGGTGGAATAGTGCAGGGCCCTGTGCAGGGCTTACTGAACTGATTTCTTCTCTGCCCATATGGGGGTCATGGGCCAACTACTCTCCAGAGTGCCTTGGCTGTGAGCAGCCCTGGCCTTTGTTAGGGTCTAGAGTCCAGCTGCCACAAGGGCTGGGGGTGACCTTATATCAGCTACTGCATTCCCAGAGTGTTTCTACATTATCCTTTACCACAGCATGTGAGAACAGGATGGTCAGCTGCGGGGAGAGGAGGGGACTGGAAATCACAGGGTGGCAGAGCAGAGAATGGAGGCCTTTGGCCCTGGACATCTCTCACAGAGACCCAGGGTTTGGGATGGCATCATCTGCCTCCCCCTCTCAATCTCTAGCTGTGTTCTTTTTGTTTCTATTTTGGTTCATCTTACCTAGAAAAATGCTGCTAAAAATATGGGTGCCATCCTCAGGTTCATTATCGATTTTGCTTTTGAAAACCTCAGTCTTCACTAAGTGTCCCCATTTCTCTTGTGGCCTGCAGAGGAGATTAAGACTGGTTGTCCTGGCCAGTGACAACTTCTGCAACAGGAGCTGGAACACTGGGAGGTGGCGCTGTCCTGTGAGCAGAGAGGCAGACAGGGGCTGCTTTCAGAGGGCAGGAGGCCCGTCGGGACTCTCAACTTGGCCCTGGTAGATTCAACTCGTCGGCTTCCCAGTGTCCCCCTCCCTATTGCTTCTCTTTAAAATACCAGTCTCCTTGGAGGTCTCATTCATGTGCCATCCGCCTGAGTGAGGTGCTCTAGAGGCCTGAAGTAGGCCAGGCTTGCCCTGCTGGGACAGTCTGGTCCTCAGGGTAAGCTGTGAAAGCAGCGGTGCCTGGCCTCCAGGTCTGGTGTCCTGAGCAAGGTGCTGATTTTACTGCCTAGTGGCCCCCTGCAATGCTTCAGTTCTCAGGCTCTGAAAAGCACACTGTGGAGCCGGGATCTCCCAACGCTCTCACGAGGGACAGCTCCACACTAAAGTTACACCCACCATCTGCTGGAAGGGGTCCCCCTGAGTCCTGGGGAATCTCAACTACTCCCTTCGTGGGGCAGCTCCCAAGGGGCCCAGAGCTGAAGCCTACTTAATGTCCCTTGAGCCCTGGTAGCTTTACGCTCTCCCTCCCAGGCCCGCTCACTGCCATCATGTCCTTTGTGTTTGTCTGCAGGTCTTGGGCCTAGGGTGGTACAGAGGACACAGTCACGAGGCCACTCCCATCTGGGCTCTGCCACTCTGTTTCAAATTTCATTTTATTTGCCCATCTATAAAATGGGATAATGATACCTGCCCAATTTAGACTGCTCATGGTTATTGGAAGTTCCCACGAGATAATACACGGGAAAGGACTGTGTAAAAAGCAAAGGCTCCTACTAGCAAGCAGTAGTGTTAGTAAATGGCAGTGGGAAAATGGAATTCCTCCCTGCTTCTCACAATCGCTGCTACTTTGGGTGTTGTAGGCAGCTCTTTTATGGGCTATCTGTGGCTTGACCACTGTGGGCCAGTTGTGTGGAGGAGGGGCTCCAGGTTTTCATTCCTTCCCCTGGTCATCTTAGTGATTCTGTCTCTGGAAAGGAGGTTTCCCAGAAAAGAGGATCTCGACTCCCTGGCAGGTTCTTCTCCTTATTTATTTATTTATTTATTTACTGGGAATTAAACCCTGGGGCTCTTTACCATTGAGCTATATTCCCAGCTTTTTTAATTTTTTATTTTGAGACAGGGTTTCACTAAGTTGCTGAAGCTGGCCTGGAACTTGTGATCCTACTGCCTCAACTTCCCAAGTTGCTGGGATTATAGGCATGTGCCACCATGCCCAGCTCTGGCAGGTGCTTGATTTAGGACACAGAAAGGAATTTAGGACACATCAGAGAAGGCACTAAGGCTTATTTAAGAAAGACAGACATTTATTTAGGAAAGTAAGCAACAGAGTCGAATATACAAAGGGAGAAGTTCAGATGCTGGATAGTGAGACATACTTTGGCCTTGAGCTCTTCATTTTATTTATTAATTTATTTTTTATAACTTTTTTGGTAACAGTAGGCATTGAATCCAGGGGGACTTTATCACTGAGTCAGATCCCCAGTGCTTTTTATTTTTTCTTTTAAGATAGGGTTTGACTAGGTTGCCCAGTTTAACCCCCAACTCTTGGATCCTCCTTCAGCCTCCCAGGTAGCTGGGACTACAGGCATGTGCCACTGTCCTGCTTATGTTCTTTTTAAAGGAAATTGTGTAAGCGGTGTACAAGAGAAGTGTGTGGGGGTGATGTCAGCATGATGAGCTCAGTTTTTTTTTAAAAATCATGGAGCACAGGGCAATTCCCTGTGGTCTGAGTCTTTCAGGATCTCTAGGTTGATGTCAGCCAGTGAATAGATAACTTTTGAAAAATACCCACCCATACTGTAAATTAAAAAATATATATATTTTCAATCTTTTCTCTCTCACTTAAAAAAAAAAGTTTGTTATAGTTGCATATTATTAAAGTTTTTTTTTTTTTTTTTTTTAGTTGTAGTTGGACACAATATCTTTATTTATTTATTTTTATGTGATGCTGAGGATCGAACCCAGGGCCCTGTGCGTGCTAGGCAAGTGCTCTACCACTGAGCCACAATCCCAGCCCCATATTATTAAAGTTTTTAACAATATTTTTCCCTTGACTTTATTTAGCCTAAAGAAAATACATTGTATAAGCTAGGCCTATAATCCCAGGGACTCAGGTGTCTGAGGCAGGAAGGCTGCAAGGACCAGGCCAGCCTCAGCAACTGAGTCCCTAAACAACTTAGTGAGCCGCTGTCTCAAACACACACACACACACACACACACACACAATAATAATAAGGACTGGGGATGTAGCTCAGTGGTGCAACACCCCTGGGTTCAATCATCATCATAATCATCATAATAGTTGTATGAGCTAACAATATATGTAGGCATTAATCATCTGGACTCACAATACTATTCTAAGATTTAAGGCTTTTACAAATTTAGGCCTGGAGGAAAACAGGCTTGTAAGGTGAGGTGTTAATAGGCCGCCTTGGATTTAGAGTTTCCCCCTTCCCTGCTAGTTCCCTTTCTGCCTATCCTTTTTTCCATCGGGCTTCAGTAGCACCCGGGCATGTAGTTTAGAGGGCTTGGATCTGCCCTCATAACCCTCTGCGGTTTCTGGCCCACAGAGACTCTATGGGGCTCCTGCGATGACCCCTTTCTCTCTCCTGCGATGACCCCTCTCTCTCTCCTGGAGCTCAGGGACAGCCATGTTGCCTCCAGCGCCCCCACTCTGTCTCCTAGTCGCTGGGAGACAGGCATCCTATGGGCCTGGCCAGGCTATTCCAGCCCTGGGAAAAGGGAGATTGAAGATGATGCTCTAATTACCGAATTTGGACCTGGGGAATTCTGAAAGAGGAATGGCTAGGGCGGGGGCCCTGGAGGCTTGGGGTGACCCGCCCCGCGGGGCTTTCTGGCCCTGGAGCCGGCCGCAGCCGGGTCCCCTCTCCTGCCTAGGCGGGCGAGGCGCTTGCAACCTTCCTTTTTCCACCAGCCAGGGTGTTGGCGAGTTAGACCTCCCAGCCTCACGGGGCTGCTGTGCGGCTGCGACGACGTTGGCGGCTGCGGCGCTGCGGCGGAGACGAAGGGCTCGGGAGGCGGCGCCATGTGAGTCCCTGACCAGGGCCTTGGCCGCGGCGGGAGGTTACCGTATTTATCCAGGCCATTGCTGGACCCTTGGGGGCGGGTCACTGCGGGCGCGCTACCGTATTTGCCCGGAGCCGCGCAGTCCTTTCCAGGAGTGGTAGTGCCGCGGCTTAATTACGTATTTATCCAGGGTCGCGTGGTTCCGCGGGGGGCGCTGCGGGCTCAGGGGTGGGCTGCGTTCACCCTTGGGGATCGGGGGCTTGCCGCGGCCTGGGTGCGGTGCGGCAGCTGGGTGGCAGCCTACGTCTATTCGTGGGTGGGGGTGCGACGCACAGTTTGCCATCTTTCTCCAGGGTCGCTCGGGTCCCCCGAGTTGGCAAGGCTGTGCGCGAGGGTCGGGTGAGGCGGGGTGAGCTCTTTCGATTAATGCAACTCTTCAGCAAGAAGGACGTGGAGGGCGGGGGCTTGCTGATTTTTCTGGGGGCGGGGGAGGAGGGGCGCGGAGGCGCTGCGGGAGAGTTACCGTATTTGCGTTGGACGGCGCAGACTCTAGAGGAAAGAGCTGTCGCTGGAGACTGGAGGAGCGGGGGTGCAGCCTGGGCTGTGAGTGTGCAAGGGGTGGAGGAACTTGGGGGAGGGACAGGGGCCGTGGCCTTGGACCCTCTAGGCGGGCGGAGCCTCTGTCGGGGTTGGAGCCGGGCGGAGTGGAGAGGCTGCCCAGTGACAGGCTGAATTGATGGAGGGGACTTTGATGGCTTGGGGTCTACCGCCAGTGGTACTTGTCCCCCAACTCCCAGGGTGAATGATTGCCTGTTCCCTTGGAAGACAGAAGGATGTCCCTGAGACCCCACTCTGCAGGCGGATTGACTGAGGCTGGAAGTGGGAGGGGCCTGCAGGGTGGTACAGGGGAACAGCCAGCAAGCTTCCCTAGTGAGGTGGGGGGTGGGGTGGGGTGGAGTTGTGGGTTGTGCAGAGCAGTCCCAGTGCCCTGAAGGAGTTTTTTTGGGTATATGGGAGTGGTGGCAGTAGACAGTGCCCCTACAGGAGCAGTGGTCCTTTGGGAATAGTTGGCTCTGCTGTGGTTGGGATGGTGGTGGGGGTCTCCTCTCTATGTGTGTGTTGAGGAGTGCTTGGTTACCAAGGAGCTAGTGCATTGAAGAGAGCTTTCAACAGTGAATCTGGAGACTTAGGGCCTAGTACTGGCTCACCTTGCTGTGTGACCTTGGGTAAGAATATTGACCTCACCAAAACTCAGTTGTTCCATTTGTAAAAATGGAACTTGACAATCCTGCTCTGTTCCTTTCTCAGGGCAATGTGAGAACAATGGGAAATGATTTAAGAGGAGCACAGTGGTCTGGAATAGGATCCTTAGGAGAAGCAATGTGGAGGAAACCAGGTGCTCAAGATGTTTGTTGAACTTGAGTGTTGCTCAGTCTTGGGCCAGGCTTTGCTGTGGGGACACTGAGAGGAATCAAGCTGAGACCTGGCTCTGGGAACCCACTGGTTCAGTGATTTGCACACCTTTTAAACACATGCCTCATTTTGATAAACAAAGAGCTTCTCCCTTTAATGTTTAATCCAGTGAGGTCACTTTCAAGTCCAGAATTTTATTTTTGTTTCCTGCTTTGTTTTGCAAAAAATATATTTAAACCATGAGTGATCACATCCTTCCTTCCAAGTTTGGGGTGCACCTCCCACCCCCTCTCCTGCTTAGAGAGGTAAGGTGTATCCAGGTGAAGACTAAAACTTCTAGGAGCTCATGGATGTTCCCCATAGGCATTTATTGCAGGTCTTATGGGTAGCAGGCAAAGTGCTTGGATAAAAGAAGGCAGCTCTGTTGGTAAGGTGCTGGGGTAGGGGCAGTCTGGTGAATGAGGGTCACCAGGTTGGGCAACATAGCTCAAGGAGAGGCTATAGGGGTCTGGAAGTCTTCTGGGAGGAGGTGGCATTTGAGATGAGCCTAGGAGGGCAGGTAGAGAAGCATGAAGGGGTTATTTTGGCTTGAACAAAGACGTCGAAGGGCGAGTGCTGGAGGTTTTGGGAGGTGAGAGGCTCCTCCGGCTGGGGGTTGCCTGACCCCTTCTTTCCCTTCTGCCTTTCCAGGGGCTGGTGATTGCAGCTGGAAGTGTCCATGACCGAGCTGGAGTCCTCCGGGGGCGGGTCCCCTGTGGGGGACGGGGAGGAGGGTCTGGGGGACGAGCGAGGCCTGGTCATCCACCACCCTGCCGAGGAGCAGCCCCACCGCTGCCTGCTGTGCGGCCAGACCTTCTCGCAGCAACCCAGCCTCGTGAGGCACCAGAAGGCACACGCCGGGGCGGGCCGCGCGGCCTCCTTCGTGTGCCCGGAGTGCGGCAAGGCTTTCAGCGTGAAGCACAACCTCGAGGTGCACCAGCGCACGCACACGGGGGAGCGACCCTTCCCCTGCCCCGAGTGTGGCCGCTGCTTCAGTCTCAAGCAGAACCTGCTCACGCACCAGCGCATCCACAGCGGCGAGAAGCCGCACCAGTGCGCGCAGTGCGGCCGTTGCTTCCGGGAGCCGCGCTTCCTGCTCAACCACCAGCGCACCCACGCGCGCATGCCCGCGCCGCACCCGCGCCGCCCCGGCGTCTTCGGGGAGCGGCGGCCCTACTTCTGCCCGCGCTGCGGCAAGAGCTTCGCGCGGGAGGGCTCGCTCAAGTCCCACCAGCGCAGCCACGGCCACGGGCCCGAGGGCCAGGCGGCCCACCTAGGCCGCGTGCTATGACAAGCACGTGGCCTGCCACCCTCAGCTGCCTCCAGGCCCAGAGCGGCGTCCCGGGGCCCTGGAGATGGAGCTGGGCTGAGGCCCTCTCTCTGGACAGGATCCCGGGAGAGGGACAACACTGGCTTGGGGTGTCAAGCTCAAGACCCGATGCAGCTGCTTTGGGCTCCTGCGTTGGTTTTCCTCGGGCTCTTGCAGCCTTAAGCAGGTGAGGCCTGCAGGGCGGCCTGGAGCCCCAGAGGTCCAGAGGTGTCAGGGGCGGGCGGGTGAGTGCGTGGGGAGCAAGCTGGGTTTGTAGGTCTGGTTATGACGAGCTGTTTACCAAATCGTCATCTCCAGAATGTCAGAGTTGACAGCGACTTGGAGAGGGCCACTTTCCACAATCCCCAGGTCCAGTCTCAGTCCCAAGGCCTCCTTCACCCACTCTGTGGTGTCCTTGAGAAGTCATTGCACTTCGTGTCTCAGTTTGTTCATCTGTAAGTGGAGGATCAATTTGAGAGTCTCCTCCTCCCTGGGGCATTGTGAGGATTTGCTGTTAGGAGAGGGTAGCATCATGTGTGTGCGCTGTGCTGCGCTGTGCTATGCTGCACTCTCAGAAGGAGGCATAGGTGAGGACCACAGCCCAGTCACTCGTGTGTGACTGATGCCTACACAGGATATGGGCTGTAGTGGGAACAATCTGTGAAGTTTCTGGGAGAGAGGTGACTGGAGTCACTTGGGGGAATGCCATGGCTTTGAACTGGCCCTGGGGATGAATAGACTTGCTCCAGAAGGGCAGGTATGTGGAAGGATTTGGGAAGTGAGGTTTTCTTAATGGAGGTTCTGATTTGCCCTAGGAAGGACTTTGTGGTAAGGGAGGAGGGACCTCGGAGACTTTTAAAGAGAACCTAGTGGGCTCAGACCTGTGCTTTAAAGGCACTGTGAGGACAGATGGAAGACCCAGAGCCTGGGGCCAACCAGGCAGAAGATGAAGCTCCAGCTAAGATGCTTGGCTGAGGTCACACTGTGAGAATGGGGTGAGCCGGAACTTGCCTCCAGGACCTCTGATTGCAAGTTCGCGCTCTGAGGCACAGACCTCTTCAGCTGGTTGGCAGATGTAGAAATGGCCTTCTCCAAGCTTGTCCCAAGTCCCAGTACTCAGCACAGTGGGTAAGGTCAGGCTTTGTTTTGGATTCTGGACCCCAAGACCCTTCAGCTGTACTGCTGAAAAATACAAAATGGAGCTGAGAGGATTCCAGCATGTGGCTGGGGGTCATGTGAAGGATCCCAGGCAGGGCCATCACTGGGTGGTGCAGATGCCTGAGGGCATACGGATGATGGACACTGCTGCTCCCAGAGTCCTTGATTCCCATTCAAGTCTGTGCTGAGTGCTGGAGACCTGTTCCTTCTTCCCTATGCCCTCTCTGTCCTTCCTCAGTGCAGTGTGGCTCCCCAGAGATCGATTTCCCTCTGCCTGCTACCTTTGGTAGTTGTTGCAATGTGGACTAGCACTTGGTGGCAGAGAATAAGATTAAGCAGGGTCCTGGGACAATTGGAGCCAATCACCCAAATGTCCTGGCCCCAAGATGTTCCATCTGTAAATGGGATTAATAATTCTCGTCTTGCATTGTAGGAGGTTAAGGGACTTACTCAAAGCCCCAGGCAGATGCAGCCGGGGCAGCTGATGTCCCTTCTAGCTTTGAGGGTGGATGGGCAGGGCCATGTTGTAGCACCAGACCTGACCCTGATCTCTTTGTTTCTGTGAACAGATGTGAAGTGAGCAGGACCTCATGGCCCAGAAGGTGCCGGGCACATCTGGGCACAGAGACTAGGAATGGCGTCCCATGGGAGCCTGCATGGCACTGCACCCTGGCATGAGGACACGTCCTCTAAGAAGATCTACCTTGGGAGGTGCCCTGATGGAACCTGGAATTAGAGGCCAATTCCAAAACCTGGTGGGAAAACCCCCCAGGCCTCGAGGGAGTCACAGCAGGGGCAGGCCTCCTGCTGGCTTCCTGGCCACGTATCTCTACTCTCATGTGGCTGCAGGGATGGCATCTGTGGCCTTTCTGCTCCTGCCTGGTCCGCCAGTCAGCTAAAATTCAGAGACAGGAAGTGACTAGTCTAAGTTAACACAGCAGGTCAGCGGCAGGTCAGGCTTGAGGGCAGAACCTTGCCCCTGGGTGAACCATTCCTGCAGGCTTCATTTCCTTTCTGAGTCAGGAAGGTTGTTAACACTTTGGGGTCACGTGGCCCTTTGAAAATTTGTGAAAATTGTGGACCTTCTCTCCAGGAAAACATGCATACTCACTTAGACTCAAAAATTCCAAGCAATTTCAGGAGCTGCTGGACTCCAGACAAAGAACCTCAGCCCTGGAGGCTTCATCTGCCACCCTTCCCTTACCTGACACAGAGCCCTGAGCTAAGGCTGCCATGCAAGTAGTGTTTCTCTCTCCCCTGACCTCGTTCCCGTTCCCTTGTTTGGGAATAAAGAATTCTGAGGTGGAGATTCATATAGTCAATCCCTTCTCTCAGACACCAGTGCACCAGATTTCTGGAACCTAATTTCCCTTCCGCTGACGTCACTGGAGATTCCCTGGACTGGTTTGCTCCTCTGCATTTGTTTCGTGTTCTGCCAACAGGATGCTGGCTTGTGAAATGGAGCCTCTGCTCGGCCTGGGCTCTGATTTCACTGGGAGGTGTCAGGGAAGCTGGACTCTGAGGAGGTGGAAGAAGCACCAGTAAGCCCACCCAGGGAAAAGGAAACCGGTCACCCTCAGACAAGGCTCCTGCCCCACCAGGGCAGCCCTAGGCAGTGTCATGTGGGAGAGCTGGGGAGGAAGACGCTAGAGCCCTGCTGCTGGTGCCTGTGGCTGGTGGGAGAGGCAGGTGCAGAAGCTGGGGTGCCCCAAGCAGATGGGTACAAGTGGAGGGACCAGGCTCCAGGCCGGCTGCAGAGCTTAGTCTTCACATCTGAGCAGGTCATCCTGGAGCCCACAAGGCTCACCTGCCTCCCCAGAAGGAACTGCCCATCAGAAAAGGTGGGACCCATTGGGTTGGGATGGAAGCCAATGGATTCCTGTCCTGGGTTCTTGCTGCTCCTATCCCTCAGACAGTTTGGCACATAGGTTCTTCCTGGACACCTACTGTATAGGATTGCAGAATGCTTGGGGAAATAGAGAAAGGGGAGCCACTCCCTGCCCTGGAGGCTTCCATGTGGCTCTGGTCCTTGGCCAATCTAGGGAGAACCACAACAGCACACCCTCTCTCTGCTAATTGTTCAGCTTGTCTCCTTGCCGTACCTGTGCTATGCCTTCCCTGGTATTGCTCGGAAACGTCCCCCTTCTATCCTCCTCTCTACTGAGCCCTCCTTATCCACAGGGTTGGGCTTCCTTCTCTGTATAGGACCTGTGTGAACATACTGTCACCCCTGAGTACACTGTGCTGTCTAGTCTTGTGCTTCGGTTTCCTCTGTGTGTATGTGCGTGCGCACATGTGTGTCTTGAGTCTCCAACTAGACTAAGCTCCCTGAGGGCAAGGACTGTGTCATTTCTTTTTGAACCCCAGCTGGTCTAGCACAGGGCTGGACTCATAACTCTCAGGAAACACTTGTCAACTGGCTGATGAAGCAAGTGCTGGAGCATGGGGGTGGGTATGGGGGGATCGTGAGGGGAGAGGGCATATGAGTTAACTAGTGGGTGCGTTTTATTGGGCTGTGGACTGGCTCCCCTGGGTCAGTAGTGGACTCTGGAGGCCTCAGGTCTTCCACTACTTGGAGGCAGTGGATGCAGGAGGAACCCCCACCCCCACCCCTGCCCATGACTATGCAGGACTAAACGGAAAGGGTCGTCCAGGCTGGCTATTTTTGGAGGTCACTGACACTTACTGGAGCTGACCAAGTGGAATAAATGTTCTCTTGACATCAGCTGGTGTGAAGAGTAGTCCTTGGGGCTTAGCTGGGAGCAGGGTAGAGGCTGCAGTCTTAGCCACCATCATTTCTGGAAGATTAGGTTCAAGGTAATATGGTGCCCAAAGACTAGAGAAAACATAAAAGTCGGCCAGCTGTGGTGGTGCATGCCCGTAATCCCAGTGGCACAAAAGGCTGAGGCAGGAGGATCTCAAGTTCAAGACCAGCCTCAGCAAGTTAGTGAGGCCCTAAGTAACTTACAGAGACCCTGTCTCAAAACTTAAAAAAGGACCAGGGGCGGGGCTGGGGTTGTGGCTCAGTGGCAGAGCGCTTGCCTCACACATGTGAGGCACTGGGTTCAATCCTCAGCACCACATAAAAATAAGTAAATAAAGATATTTTTTAAAAAAAAGGACCAGGGAGGTAGCTTAGTGGCTAAGCATCCTTGGGTTCAATCCCTAGTACCAAAAATAATAAATAAACACAGCAATGAATTAATGCAGTTCTCTCTGCATGTGGAAAAAGAGTGCTGTTTGGATTTGGGTAACAGGTATTAGCAACTCTCTGACACCAGCAGCTTGCTGAGCCCATGGCGGGGCCAGACCTGCTGAGAAGCCTTGGGGCAACTCCCACTGGTACCCAAGAGGTGGGCCACAGAGTGCTCAGGTCAGGAGACCAGGCTCCAGGTCTGGCCCACTTCCAATGAGAGGCCAGCCCAGTCGCACCTCTCCTGACTGTCCCTGCTCACCAGCTTCACAGGGTCTCGAGAAACAGGCATGCTTATTAATGATGCTAGTGTCAGCAGCAGGTCATCGTGTCCTTTCTGATGTGGGACCTGCAGAGACCGTGTCACTTCACAGCCAGGCCTCCTGCCACCAGTGACCCTGGGACTTGGTTAGGTCCGTTCCCTCCTGTTAGTGGGGAGCTGGCTCACTCAGCACCTTTGCTCTGTTCCTTGCTCTCTGGGATCTGCAGCGGCATCACTGACTCCTCAGTCCGGGGCCTGAGTGAGTAGGAAGTCACTCAAGAACAGCAGCCTTGAGCCCGGCTTTGCTGGGGGCAGGGCTCACGTTTGACTCACAGGTGCTTCTGAAGTGGTCACGGCCTGGCTTGTGCCCAGCCTGAGCTGGGCTTCAGCCTGTTACCTACCCAGCTCAGTGGCCAAGGAAGTGTCATGTTATGAATGACCAAATCATGTGTCCCCCACTGAGGGACTAAGTTCCACCTGGAGCCTACAGTTTAGGAAAACCAGAGTCAGGGATAAAACCAGAGCTGAGAAGATGGGGGGCTCGGACTCCAGGAGGACCAACACCCTGCAACCAGAGGGGAGAGAGCAGGTGTGTGCCTCTTGGGCTGGCCGATTAGGTGTCACCTGGGAGCCAGGCACTGGTCCCTTCCAAATCCCAACCAGAAGCTGCATTTTAACAAGATCCTGGGCAGTTTGCCTGCCGTCACAGCTTGTGAGCTCTGCACCCCACCTTCCCACCCCCCTGAGGAGGGCCCTGTGGCCCAGCTGTCCTCCTAGCCCTCCTGCCTGGAGGGAGAAGAAGGAGATGGGCAGGTTTTCGAGGTGTAGAGACAAGAGGCTTCTGCCTTCACAGGGGTCCAGATGCCAACCACAGCCATTGGCCCCTGGTTCTAGGACCTGGAGTACTGATCACACAGCGGTTCATCCCCAGTGGGCACTTGGCCTGCTTTAGGGAGTTTGCTGGAGTACAGGAGGGAAGGCCAAGGAAAAGGCCAGTCCTGGCCAGAGAGCCCGTGTAGAGCACCCCACCCTGTCCTGCCTCCCTAGGTTCCCATCTCCACCCTCCTTTGGCCTCCCCCAGCCATCTCCAAACCTCACTGTCCTCACCCCAGTGATGCCTAGGTGTGAGGTGGCTTCCGTGGCTGCCGTTGGTGTCCCCATTCCTCTCCAGTAGCTGTGAGTGGTGCCCTCGTGGCTCACAGCTGCTTTTCCCAGCTCAGCCTGGCAAGCGCCATGATGTGGTGGGGGCCAGCTCTGTGGCATGTGTGCCCAGAGCCCTGTGGGATCAGACAAGCTGTCTTGCTGGGACACGCTGCGGCTGTGCTCTGCCCTGAGCTGCTGCAGCCACTCTTTTGCTCCAGACCCCCCCAACCCTCTTGTTCCCACAGTGAGGGTCCTCATCTCAGGGGAGTACAAAATCCAGGCATCCTGCCCATGGGAGGTTGGGACCAGCCTCTTCCTTTGGTGGCTTTGTGTGATGCTGGTCACCTGTGAGCCTTCAGTGAAAATCTGCCAGGGGGTTCATGGATAGCAGATGACCATATCCTTTGTGACCAGCCAGGTCAGAGGACCTAAATGCTGGCATGGCAGCCCTTCACCAGGTGCCCCAAGCACCCCTCCCAACTGGAAACAAGGGACAAAGGTCTAGTTCACAGGTCGAGGGCTGAGGTCCTTACCACTTTGCACCTGTTTCCCATCCCTGACCCTCACGGGGCCGCCTACTGACAGCTGAGGGTCCTTTGGGGTTCCCCTGACTGCCACCCAAGCATGTTTGGGTGGTGAGGAACAGAGACCCACTTGGGCTAGAGGTGGGCTGTTCAAGGGCCTCAGGGATGTAGGGAAACAATCACATCCGGCTGTGCAGCCAGGCCTCCCGGAGTGGGCAGCAGAGGCCCCCAGACAGTGCTCCTCCTCCTCTGGTCTCACCACCATCTCTGCTCTGTGTGCAGCAGATGCTTTAGGAATGGAAACCAGCCTTTTTTTTTTTTTCCTTTTTTAAGCAGGAGATTGCAGTTGCTAGCAGTTTCTAGCAGCAGACACAGAAAGTCACCTTGAAGCAGACCTCCTTTTTTTCTGGAAGGTCATCAGTCCCTTGCAGTTAAATCAGTGCAGAAACAATGCCCACCGAATACCACCATGTGGTCTCGGACTCGGGGAGTGTTTCAAACACAGCTGCTCCAGACCAGGGCGAAGGTGTTCTGCTTCCTGATGACCCACCGTGCAGAGGCAGCTGCAGGCACAGCAACTGGGATGGGCCTCCGGGTGTGAGAAGGACCTGGAATTCTCTCCCTGGTGCTTGGATACCTGCAAGGGGACAAACAGAGTCCCCTGAGATTGGCTGTAAAGCTTGTGGATTCAAGACACCTTTGTTTACAGCATCAGTGGGAATTGTTTCCACATGTGGGACAAGAGAGAGTGACATGGTGGTGCAGAGGGGTCCTGAGAGGTGGGAGTGGCACTGGTTGATGGACAGAGGTGACAGTAGCTTCTGTTGGGTGTCAGCACACCCAGAAATTACTACAAGGGGAGAGTGGGGGAAGACTGGAGGAAGACTATATTATAGAGATTGGGGAGAGTCTCAGTATCTATTAATTTTGATTTTGTGGTACCAAGGATTAAACCCAAGGGACCACTGAGCCACATCCCTAGTCCTTTTTAATACTTTTGTTTAGAGACAGGTCTCACTGAATTGCTTAGGGCCTCACTAGTTGCTGAGGCTTCCTCCTGCCTCAGCCTCCCAAGCCACCGGAATTACAAGTGTGTGCCACCGCGCCTGCTCAGTCTTTGATTATAAAAAGAAACTTATTTCAGGCTGCAAGGCAGGACCCAGTGACCCGGCCTCCTGCTTCTCCTGTACCTGCTACTTTATCACCCATGCCTGTCCTTCTCTCTTCTGCCATCGCTCTTGGCTGTGATGGGGTTCAGGACACACCACCCCAGAACATGGCACCTTGGCATTTGAGAAAACTGTAGAATCCGGAAAGTTGCTCTCACTGCCCCTAGCCTTCCTCCTCTGACGTGGCCATTAGAGTTTCCCTGGCCTTCCTCTAGAGTAGGTCGTAACCCTCTCATTATGGAGGAAACCCCCATGCCCAGAGGAAATGAGGGTCACGCAGAGGCTCTGGGAAGAGCCTGGACCCACAGGCCTTGCTAAGTCCCCTGCCCTGTGGTTGACGGGGTCGTGCCCTTTGTCCTGCTGTCTCACTTCTGCACAGCTCCCCGTCAGATCGTTTTGTCTGCATTTCTGAAGGCTCCTGTGTCGCAGAAAACTGGTATGAGATACATCCGTGTGCTTTCTCTTGTCCATCTGTCTCTCTGTGGTGGGGCCCCAGCCTCGGGCCTACGATGGGCAAGGAAAAGACACTTTTTCTCCCTGACGTCATCTGCCTGGCTCTGCTCCCTCGGGCCCCCTCGCTGTCCTGCAGCGGGTTGAGGTGTCTGGTCACCTTCCTCTTGCGGGTGTCTCTTGGGTGGTGTCCTTTCTCCCCCACCTCCTCTGTTGTCATGAGCCTCTCGGTGGCTTTCCTGGGCTCAGGCCCGTGCCCTGGCCCCAGACCCACTGGCAGGGTGACAGAAGCCCGGGGTGTAAACCCTGGCCCTTGTCCAGGAGGGAGCGAGGAGCCGTTTCCTCAGAGGGCGTGTCTGACGTGCTGCTCCTTTGTGCAGCACCACTGTGTTTCTGTGTCCTCAGAGCCTCAAATTCACTGCGCAAGTCTCCCCTTTGGTGAATTACCCCACAAGGCTCCGCACTCTACTGTTTTTGTTTTGTTTTGCGATTCCAGGAATGGAACCCAGGGCCTCATGATGTGGGCAAGTGCTCTTCCACGGAGCCCACCCCAGTCCCTGTCCCAGTCCCTGCCCCAGCCCCCATTCCAGCCCCTGCCCCTGTCCCCACCCCATCTCTCGCCCCAGCCCCCTCCCCAGCCCCTGCTCTTCTCTTTTTCCACTGGAGTTGTCTCAAGATCCCATTTCTCATGTGTTTTTTGACAAATTGTCCGTGTGCATGTTTCCTGGTTCCCTTTTGAGTGTGCAGGCTCCTGGAGGGTGGGTGGGATCTTGCAGCCGGGGGCCTGCAGCTCTGGCAGCGGACGCTCCTGGTGGACAGGATGCTGTCTGCTTGCAGAGAGGTGGGTTTTGGCGGGAGCAGTGCCCTGAGCACAGTGCTGGGCTTGGGACAACAGAACCTCACTGTTGGAGCTTCCTTCAGCTTTTATCACCTCCTCCTGGTTGGCATGTTGGTTTAGTCACTGCTCCCTAATGCTTGGACAGT